ATACCTTCGAACAGTTCGGTCCGTGATCCCTGTCGGCTGCTTCTTTGATTACTTTAAGTTGAAGCACTGGTCGTTGGCATTCTAGCTATGCAACTGTCATAAATGGTTTTGTGGTGCTTTTTTAAGTGTTGAGCAAAGCAGGTTCTGCACAATACATGTCGTTGTGCAGCATCTTCTTTTTTTATAGCCAAAATAATTCCAAATAACGACCATGCTGCCCCTCTTTGGTACCAAACTGTCAGATGTATCAGCTTCTGTCGAGCCTGACGCCATTGTGCAACCAGTTAAAGTGCTGTGTTGACTTCTCCCGCTCCCTGTCCTGCTTTGCTCCGCTCACTTGAAAGTCACGTAACCAGATCACGTGACCAATCAAATTGCAGCCTTTGTGACTAGAAATTGCAATTTTATTGCAAATGCAATTAATTGTTCAGCCCTACAAGGGACTTTTCTGGGTAGGGTTTGCATGTTCTCTCCGTGCATGCATGGGTTTTCTCCGGGAACTTCGGTTTCCTCCCACAGACCAAAATTATGATTGGGAACTCTAAATGGTCCCTAGGTGTGAGTGAGAGTGTGAATGGTTGTTTGTCTCGTTTGTCTCTATGTGTCCCTGTGATGGACTGGTGACTTGTCCAGGGTGTCCCCGCTTCTCGCACAGAGTTAGTTGGACATGGACACCAGTGACCCCCTTGACCCAAAAAGGAAGAAGCTGGTAAATATAATGGATGTATGGATATTCATTGGTCAGCATACGACAGGAATATGTTATCAAAGTACTCATAAGAAAGCCTGTCTTTTGACATTTAAATTTTTTACAGCTGGTTTTAGAGGTACTGAGAGGTTTGACTCCAGTTCATCACCAGACCTCGTGGAGATTAACATCCATTCAAGCTCCTATTTAAACCTTATGGCAATTTAGAGTTACTAATTTATTTAATATGCTTGTTTTTGGTCTGTGGAAGAAAATTGGTAAAAACCTATGAGTGCACAGGAAGAACAGGCACCACAGAAAGGCCACAGTCAAGTTTTGAACCTGCAACCTTTTTGCTATGAGGCGAGAGCTCGAACCACTGTCCAATATAGTATTTTTTTTTTTTATCATTCACTCTGACAAGAACTTTGCTCTTTTATTTGCTCATACTGATTTTCAACAAAAGGAATCTGGTAAATATGCTTAATAACTTAAATTACTCACACAAACCAACAATATATGGCCAAGCTTGTAGTTAGGCTACAGTAAGGGGAAAAGTCCAACTACTAAACTACTGACAGAGGTTTAGACAGCTTGATTTACATTTGTACATAAGAAAATATTTCAATAGAAGTGCTTTGCATTCTAAAGTTTTAGAAATTTATTTCCCCTTTTATCGTTTTATTAGAGCCATCATAATTTTTTGAGCACCAAGAGTGTCTGCTTTCTTTTGAATACACCCATAAAATGAAGCATAAAGTCTGAGTTAAAGAAAAATCATCACCAAAATCATAGAACCTGTTGTCTTCAGGTGCAGGTTTAGGTTAGGTTTAGTTGAGTCAGCTAATGCAAAAAAAAAAAATCCAGCTGTGACCAATTTACTTTGATGAATACACATATTTGAACAAGAAAACAAGCATGATTAAGACAAAAAGTAGAGAGTTTCCTTTGACATCTTCCTTATCTTTATTCAGAAATAACTATTCCTGCTTAATGTTGAAATTACACCACTAACTCTAAGAATAGCTAATATGAGGTGACTGCTTGTGAAGCAAAAACAGTTTTCTAAGACTCATGACTTCTTTTTACTGCAGTTATATTGTGCAGAAAACAATTGCTTGTTTGTGCGTGTGTGTGTGTGTGCGAGAGAGAGAGAGAGAGAGAGAGAGAGAGAGAGAGAGAGAGAGAGAGAGAGAGAGAGAGAGAGAGAGAGAGAGAGAGAGAGAGAGAGAGAGTGAGTGTGTGTATGCACTTGGGCCCATCTGACTCAGTGCATTACCACACACAGATCAATAAGGATTCTATTCTTGGTCATTAGCTCTTGAAAAAAGGGATAGCCTGCCTCCCCTAGCCTTTCCTATCTTTCCCCTACTCCTCATTCTCCCCCACTTTTTGGTCGTCTGCCCTCAATTGTCTTTGTTTCTCTCCTTTCCTCCTGCAGACAGCAGCTAACGTTCATTGTCAATGTCCCAGCAGAGACATAGAGCACTTTATGGGAGAAAAATTGGTGTTTTTTGTTTGTGTTTTAGCGGGGGCTAAAGGGATCAGACATGTCCTCAGAGGGTACACATTGGCTTCTCCTGTAATTCTCAGTCCTCTGCTGCACTGCCAGGCTGAGACCCTTGATCTGCCACTTCCTGTGAATCCTCCAAGGGAGAGAGGAGTGCAGCCAAATGCCCTGGCAGGCCATTCAGGCAAACAAACAAACAAACAAACACGATGTGTATCAACACAAAAATCCCATAACGCTCGCAAAATTTGCAACCAGGCCAAAACTAAAACACAGCAGATCAGCGATGTTAAACCTCCATTCTGCCTCCCGTTAACTGTGCCAATATCATTGTCATCAGATAAACAATGAGAGCTGAGGAGGAGAAGAATCACAGAACAGATAGATGACTCCCGGATCACCTTCACTTGATTCTGATAAAAACCGTTTGATCCACATCGCTCAAACACGAGACATTCCTCTGTTCCAATTCAAAGTGACCCCTTTCAGCAGGCAGAAAACTGACGGGATAATTTGAGGGAGAATGCATTCTTGATCTCTAAGCCGATTGTGGTCGACGGCCTTCTTGGTTGTAGCTTATTTTTATTGTCCTGAGAAGGAATGTAGCAGCAAGTAAAAGATAAGCTCCATTAAGCTCCATTGTTTCAGTTCCAGCAAAAGCACGAACGCTGAGCTTCTATCAGAGTCTACTAATATGTGAGGAGTCGAGTGGGTTATGGTTTCAGCTGAATCTGTGACTTGTTAAGCATCTCTAGAACATGGTACGCTGCAAGGTTGGACGTCGGTTACAAATAAAGAAATTTGTAGGGATGCACGATATTATCGGCATGTATCGTATCGGCCGATATTAACGATAAAATTAAATATTGGACATCGGCCATTCCATCAAAATAACTCACCAATATAAAAGGCGCGTTTTTGTATGACAACCCAGTGACGAGGACGCCTGCAGCACAACGTGATGAAGTCATGTGCGCCTACCTTTGTCATGAATAAATTTGATATTAAGCATAATCCAAGTTGAAGTGTTACATCATTTTCAACCCCCTTTTTGGCATCTGCATTTGGCAGCAGGTCAAACTGACAAAGACCAGGCAGAATAATGGAGTATTTTAATTGCACAGCAGAGAAAGTTATGTAGTCTCTGTAAGTAGGTCTAGGGAAAAAATATCGATATTGGTATCGGTTATCGGCCAAATAAGTTTTAACATATCAGCATATCGGATGTCGGCCAAAAATCCAATATCATGCATCCCTAGAAATTTGTCAAAAACACAAATACTAAGCTGCTGAGCTTTTTTTAAGTAAACCTGGGTAAATTGACTCCTGACTACCAGCGAGAGACTGTTTTCTTGCACAGGTTAAGAGTGAGTCACAGGCATGGCTGCCAGCAGGTGGGGAAGAGAGACGACTAAAAGGACAGCTCTTCATCACAGCGTAATGAGCTGGCAAAGGTTGTTGGACAGGCAGCAGAACACATGGAGGACCTGTAAAAGCAGCCTCACACAAGCCAGGCTTTGCCGTCTTCCTCTGAAGCTATACGGCTCCCTGCAGTGTCATTTCATAGCAAGCTGTTGTCCCCGTTTCTGCAAACGTCTTCGTATTGCAAGCCGGCCGAGAAAAGAACCCACTTGTGCCGATTTGCGGCACGTCATTTCAGCTTGTCCTCTACCTGGTTTTCAGCGGCTTAAAATATGTGCAGAAATGTTCAGGAACACAATACAGCAGAAAGACAGCCGAGACGATAAATTCAAGAGTTCCAGGGTGGATCTCATTAACTTGTCATGTGATTATATCTGTAAGTTGGACCTAAATATGCAAACCAAAGAGAATATCCCCAACAATGAGATAGTGAAACATCAAGCTCTACAACACTAAGCTCAAAGCATCAAAAACTGCTCAACTGATTCTTAAAATACAGAAGAAATCAAACTAACTAAAATGATTCTTGAACCACACCACAGTGTTTTACATTGTTCCTCAAGAAAAAAATATATTTTTATATATTTTTCTTCAAGGGTGCTTGAAAAAATGTGAATGTTGAGTTTGTTTGTTTTTGGGTGTAGGCTTTCAATTATGAACTCAATGCTTCAGTTATTTGAATAACTGACTCTTGTCTTATTCAAGAACAAAAAGGCTTTAAACTCAAGAAATAAACTAATGTGTCCATGTATGGCACCCAGCACAGCAAAAAACACATTTTCAAATTGGAGCTTCTGGTATTTTATTACTAACAATCTGTTGCAGCAAAAAATGTGTTCATTCCCATATAGCATGAATGAAAATCTAACATAACGCAGTCTGACGGGCAGAAAACAATATTTCTGCACCTTCAAGGTGTTTCCCTAAAGAGCTTTTTACTCACAAACGTTGCTTAAGATGTGGGGCTCAACGTTACATCAGAAATGTGACACTGCAACGTAAATATGGCAACAATAAAAGTGAATAAATCGCAGACGCAAACCAATAATATTTTTGTCAATCAGATGGGCACCTCCGCTTATGACAATAAATGTATATAATAGAGGAAAACTCTACTAAGGCACATGGAGATGGTTGCGAGCATCATGAGGACAGAAGTAAAGAGGAAAAAAGTGAGGAAAATGTTTATTACAGCTGATGTTAACCATTACTAATATCATGCAGCCAAAGAATATTTCAATAAAAAAGTTTTTTTTTTTTTTTAAACGTAGTGTCCCAAGATGTTTGCACAGAATTGTACATCTGCATCTCAGACATTCATTGACTTACCTGCTTCTGCCTCCGAACGGTTCTGTCACGACTTAAGAACTGAAAGGATACAATCTGAGCGCTCCGCTCTGGGTGCCGATGGCCAGGATCTTCTGCACGGGGTCGAAAGCCATCGCTGATGGCTGATACGGGAAGCCATGGCGAACAGTCTGGTATACATGCAGGGACATGAAAGGGGGGGGGGGGGGGGAGATTTGATGAGAGCGAATTGCAATTTGCATTTGACAGCAGGGGTGTTGTTTTGTCAGAGGATGTCGCACACCTGACTTTGGTAAACAAATGCTCCAGATGGATGTGGAAACTGTTATGAAACTGAACAATGAAGATTGAAATTGTAAAGAGAATATGACTGAGAGGAAATAATGTACTTGTGTGTGTTTTTTGCAGAGCTCCCCTGTTCCTCTGGATAATGTCCGGACCAACGTTTAAAACTCGCTTATAATCACGGGCCTATTTTCAGATTCCTTCTCGCGCATTCCCCTCTCTTTATGTTGTCTTTCTCTCACCACCTCCCACATGAAGTCGTGATTACACTGAAGTCTGGAAATAAAATACACCAATAAGGAGGCATTTGGTTCTTGTCTGTTGCAGGGACTTTTAACAACAACGTTGAAAAGTCTTTCTCACTCAGTATATTAGTGTGACTGTAGTTTTATGGCACCAGTCAGCCATTGGTGGGCTGTTGGATTTGTTTGCTTAGTGGCAGAAGGCTAAAGCGCATTACATAAGAAGCACTCAGAGCAACACCTGCTTCTCTTACAGAGGAACATTACAGACACTTTATGTCCGGGCAGTAAAGGTGCAGGAAGTCAGAAGTTTGAGCAAAAGGCAATTTTATCAGATGTAGCTCCTTCCATTTTCCTTCAAGCCTTCAGGTGTGTCACTGCGACTCTAGTCTAGATTATATGCACTATTAAAAGTGGGCAACGATGTAAATCTCTGTGTGCACGAGTTTGTCTTCTAGCAAAATAGATGGTGAACCGATGAACGGGTTTTAATGATCATTTGATGTGCAAATGACTTTTAGTCAACCCACACCAAGATTGATGCAGCTGAACGATCTTAGCAAACACATTAGCTGTAATGCAGTTCATTCTACAGATACTGTTAAAATTTAATGTGGTTGTAGCAGAGAATCACCCAAACACGTACAATGAGCGCTAACAGATAGCACAAGAACTTTGTTTAAAATTGGCATTTACTTTTAATCAACCCGATTCACTGTCAGAGCTAATCAACTATACCAAGCATAAGAATTCATGTAGTTTAACTCGGTCAGTTTTATGTATGTTGAGTTACATTTTGTGCGATGTTAGCAGAAACTCATAGCCAGCACATAATTTGAACAAACATCAAGTGAGAGCTTTGTTAAAAACTTTTGCAAAGTGGCAGTAGATGAGCACTCCTTCAATATATTATAATGACTTTAATTATTATTATTACTATAAGCATTTGCAGTTTATGATTACAATTTGGGTAGATTCGCAACTTAAAAACACAAACATTTCATTTATGAAACATTCGTGCACACGCCATATGATCAGTCTCCCTATAGATAAGCATACAGTTATCAAAAATCTATGCACAATGAATTCAAATGTGCAAAACAATTCAGAGCTGAGCCTGTAACAAGCATGCAGAACAAACGTGTGGGGAAATCAATAGCAAGTGTACAGTGCGGTCTATTAAAAGTCCACACCTAGTCATTAGAGCACAACTGGGGAAATGCTGAATTAACTTTGCAGTGGGCCAAGATGTTGCATGAACAGCATGAAAATTGCATGAGTGTTTAATTATCCCGTCCGTTGTTAATGTGACAAATCTAGGCAGACTTTTTATTCCCAGCTAAACAGTCCCGCAGTCGCTTCAGGCACCATCAGTCCCAGCAGGACAGGGGACCTTGAGATGGAGCAATGTGTTCAGAGGGCTGAACAGCAAGAGGTGGAGCCGCACACACACACACACACACACACACACACACACACACACACACACACACACACACAACATCCATCATGACCAACCGTTTTGTTAATCCAGTCCCAGCAGATTATGCAAGAAAAGGATCAATTCGGCCCAGCCCCTAATATGACAGCTCATGCCATGCGCACATCCAGTAAACTCTGGGATTTTACACAGAGTGCGTGGAAGTACACACTGTGCAAAAAAGCATCACACAGGGACAGAATGGTTCCAAACAAAAAGTGTCCACCGCCTGGTCAGGAGCGCGCACGCACCACATCCAACCGCAGATGTTTGAGGATGAAACTAGTTCAGAGGAATGATTCTGTGGAGCTCACTTCAAACAACACAACGCAGCCTGACAGCAATCAGTCCGAAATTAGGTCCCCCACCTTGCAGAGCTGGAAATGCTCGGACTGGAGAGTCTCCTGAACCAGATGGTTCTCCTGTGGCCCCACTTGGACCGACGGCGTGGAGGAGGACACCTCCTTCAACCCGTCCAGCACCTTCCTGATGTTGAACTTCTTCATTTTCACGCTGCACAGCGCCGAAGTGAAATCACCCGCAGAAGACAGATGATGATGATGATGATGAGGATGAGGATGATGAGGGTGGGGGATAGCCACTTTCTTTCTCGCGCGCACGGACGCGCGCGCTCTGTCTCTTCTGATTTCCCCCCACCACCAGTGAGCCTCACATTTTCAGCGCCTGTCCTTTTAGCGCAGTGTCTCCATGCCGGCGCGCGCCGCGCAGGTCGCCTCTTGCAGAAAGGTGGAGGCTGCTGGGGGGTGTTCGGGTGGAATTTGCTCGCTGTGTCCCCCACCCCTCCACCCCCCCACCCCCTCACTGCGTCTCGGGGGCTCTCCGGTTCCCTCCCCTCCCCTCTCCTGTCGGCGGTGTGAGCCGCTCAGCCAAGGCGGAAACGCGGCGCAGCGGCGAGGATGGAGCTGCTGCTGACGCTCGTGCGCATGTCTGACAGAAGGAAGGGTTCAACTAAAATCCCGCCACCTCTCTCTCGCTCTCTCTCTCTCTCTCTCTCTCTTTACTCTCCTCGTTTCGTGGAGAGAACGCCGCCCCCTCCCCCTCCGGATCACAGCCACGTTAGTGGGATTGGACTCCACTGCACCTGGTGATGCTGGGATGTTCGAAGTAAATAAACTGGTGCTCCTGGCTCAATGTTTCCACTGCAGCGTCGTCCCATAACACCTCGGACTCGGTCTGGGAGCCTCCACTGAACAGTGGAAGGTTTAAACTACATTTAAGAACATTTGTCATGATGGATCTTTGAGGAGGATCCGAGTCGAAGCACACTGCAAAAATTTAAGTTATATATTTGATCTTTTACTAGATTATTCAAAATGAAATGTTAAACCCAGGGGTCTGCAACCTTTACGATCAAAAGAGCCATTTCTGCCCATTCATTCACGAAATTAAACAGGTCCAGAGCTGCAAAACCTGCTACAACTGTCATTATCAACTGGTGGCCCATGGGCCACTTTAAGTTTGTTAGAGGAGGGGGCATTAAAACTATAAAACTAAAAACATCCGATGATCATTAACATTTATTTATATTTTTTACATCTTAAGACAAAAAAAAGACTGGAATCCATCCATCCATCCATCCATCCATCCATCCATCCATGATCCATCCATCCATCCATCCATCCATCCATCCATCCATCCATTGTCTTCACCCGTTTCTTATTTTTCAGGTTGCAGGGGGTCACTGGTGCCCATATCCAGGTTGCAAGTCTATCACAGAAGACTGGATTCTTTTTAAAGGAAAAAAATATATATTTTGCCAATTTTTAAAAACTAAAACAATGAACTGTGCAGACATGTGTTTTTTTTTTTATTGTGGAGTAATTGCATATCCTATTTTGTAGAAATAAAGCATAAAGTTAAAGTGAGTATAATTTACTCTGTATTAATACTATTATCCACATATTTGCAAAGGAACTGACAGGAAAACTGCTAAAATTAGACATTTTTTGTTGGGTATATAACGTCCTATTAAAACAAAAAAAGTTAGTTTTGGTCAAAGCTTGAAAGAGCCGCTGTGGAGGGACCAAAGAGCCGCATGTGGCTCCAGAGCCGTAGGTTGCAGACCCCTGGTCTAGCCTTTCTTGAATTCAGTTCATTTTATTTAGATGGTGCCAATTTGCAACAAATGTCATCATTGGGAAAAGTACAAAGCCCAAATCATAAATTCAGTCATTTGCCCAATTAATTCCAATAATACTACAATACATTCACTTTCAGTGCATTATAACATTAGTAAAAGTAATCTGACAGCCAGCAAATAGCTCTATCATCTGCAAGCGTTGGGCAACCGGGGAAAGCAATGACTCCTTTTTTTATTATTATTATTTTGTTGGATATGGTCATTTAGATGTGTTCATTTTAATTGGGTCAACTACAAAAGTTTACGAGTTGTAGATGCACATCTAATGATTACTTTCTGCCTTTTTTTTTTTATTCCAACCAGTGGTTCATGAGATATTTTGCTGATAGACAGAGCTGACTCCAACAGTTAATGTCAGAGTTTTAATGAATGACGTAACATTCAGATTGTGTGTGTTAGGACTGACTTTCACCGACACCAAATTTTAGCTCAACATTTGTAAAAATGGCTGAATTATAGTCATATTTATATATTCTTAGGGTCATCTATGTTGAATTGGATTAACTCAAATTATTAATGTTCTGCTTTTCTGAAGGTTCAATAAAATTAACCCACCCCTTCATGAGATACATTGCTAAACCTACAGCTAAATGAACACACAGACGCATGGGCTAAATTAGTTTCTGTCGGTGTGAGTTCAAATTTGGACTCTTTAAAGTCTTCGCTTTATACATTAGAATATGATCCATGACTATTGTTTTGCACCTATCTAAATAAACGCCTTAAAATGTCACTCGAGCAAGTGCGTTAAAGCGCTCCATTTTAGACGATTTCAAGATCCATTATGCTTCCGCAAAGAGTTTAAGTGAGTTGAGGTCATAACCCCAGTCCAGCTGTTTGTGGTCCCAGATGGAAGTACAAGCCTTGACAAGCTCAGCTGAGGCTGCTCATGTCTAAGTGACACTGACGTCGCCACCTGTTTGAGCTGTTTGCTAACTCGCTCACCTCTAACAGGTGCCTGCGGGGACAGAGGTGAAGCAGCGGAAGTAATGTGTGTTTGTGTTCTGGCTACCAACACCTGATTCCACTTCTATTTTAAAAGCTTTTTTCAACTGTTTCATCATTATGCCATGTCACAAATACCCTTGTGTTATGAAATTATTTATTAGCATTTCCATGTAAGCTGTGCTTTATGTAAAAGAGCACAAAAACAAAAGGACCAGGAAGCAATTAATTAATTCAGTTATCAAACCAGGGTGACTTGAGAACAATTGTTGCAATGCTGATTTGCATAATGAACTCGGATTTACTTTACACACTTTCAGATCCCCCCCCCACTGGTAACACCAGATCCTAAACACATCATGCACACAAAGTGGCCGTGGGTGTATGAGTACACGTTGTGTGAAGGGAGAGCTTTTGGCCACATCAACATCCGTGATTTTATTTAGCCCCACTGTGTTGTGGTCTGGTCATTCATCTAGCTGTGTGTTTTGATAAAGCTTTTCTCAGTACATGTACTGGTGGTGTACTTTGTTTCCCTACTGTTTTTAGTTGTGCTTTGCAGCCCAAGCCTGAAGTATCACTGTTGGCGAAGTAGTTTAACCTCTCTGATTAGGATTTATGTCCAATATAAAGTTTTGAATATATTCTTGTATTAAATGACAGCTTCACAGTCCTTGTTCTGTCCACTGCAAGTACAGGAAGACATGAAGTGTCTGTATTTGAATTGAGAAAATCAACAAGAATACACATTGGAGTTACAGTTTTGCAAATATATCTGCATAAATTCAACCCAACAAGAGTTGCAGATATGCAAATTGGACTGTGGTGCAGAGAGTTAAAGACTGATTCCCAAGAAGAACTCCTGTCAGAGATCTAAGCTAATGAACAACAATTAGCGCAATTAAAACGGAGTCAATTCAAACTTGTATGCTCTGCTCAGATAGGGCTGTAGTATGCAAAATCAACAAACACAATTGTTATAGTTAGCTTTGAGTAAACTAATGACCACAGGATGAAAGTGTATATTTCTCACATTTTTTACTTTTATTTTTGGAGGATATATGGGCTCAAAAATGATGCAAACGCCTACCTGCATCTGCATTTTTATATGAATTGTGCACATATATATATATATATATGTGTGTGTGTGTGTATGTATGTATGTATGGGGCAACACGGTGGTGCAACTGGTAGAGCCGCTGCCTCTCAGCGAGCAGGACCGAGATTCAAATCCCGGTCCGGGGTCCTTTCTGGGTGGAGTTTGCATGTTCTCTCCGTGCATGCGTAGGTTTTCTCCGGGTACTCCGGTTTCCTCCTACAGACCAAAAACATGCATGTTAGGCTGATTGGTAACTAAATTGTCCCTAGGTGTGAGTGAGAGAGTGAATGGTTGTTTGTCTATGTGGCCCTGTGAGGGACTTGCGACCTGTCCAGGGTGTACCCCGCCGCTTGCACAGTGATTTCTGGACATAGGCACCAGCGACCCTCATGACCCAAAATGGAATAAGCAAAGCGGGTAAAGAAAATGGATGGATGGATGGATGGATGGATATATATATATATATATATTTATTTATATATATTTTTTTTTTTTCAAAAATAGTTTATTAATTGCAAAGGGAAATTAAATGTTGTCGTAGCTCATCATCCTGGTTTCATTCAAGAGTAGATGCTGATAGCTATGGGCAGGAAGGATCTCCTGCAGTGTATCCGAAGAATCTGGCCACAGATACCAATCCGTCTACCTGAATTCAGCTTGCTGTCAGATCCAGCAGGCCTCTCGGTCCTCCTGGGCAGGAAGATTGCCCGAATGCCAGGCAGAATTCCTCCCTGAGCGACGGTCAATCCTCCCAGTAGTCTGCCAAGGTCCTCGTCACCGCAGACAGCTGAATGTGCCAGATGTTGATCCCGGACTTCCTGTTGTCATGAGCTGAGGTTCCCACCAGCTCCAGGTTCTCAGTTGTCAGGTACTCGAGCACCACTGCCAGGTTGACAGGAATTCGTCCACGGTACCTCCTTTTCAACTCATTTGGGACATGGCGCTGTAGTTGAGGTATGTGAGCTTTCGGGACGTTATTTAACTGCTCCTGTTGTTAAAAAAAAAACACCTTGTTGCCATGGTTACGCATCATAACTATATATATATATATATATATATTTTTTTTTTTTTTTTTCAGAAAAAGTAAATATTTTTATTGTAAAGTCTACTTCTATTTAAATCACATTTAAATACTAGAACCCACAGTTTTGATAGAATAAAAACACAAACACTGCAAATTATCCACCAAAATGAGATGTTGTTGTACTTTGTACAAAATAACCCTTGATGACTCATCCAGACGACATAACTAGTGTAGAGCTTGTCTCTCACACACACCCACACACACACACGCGCGCACGCACACACACACACACACACACGCACACA